GAGGGATTCACCACTCAGTGTGACGGCTCCCTCCATTTCCAAACCATGTGCTTCTGGCTCAGCTCGCCCACCTCCCTCTAAGCTCTGGATTTCACTCTGCAGCCCAAGCACTGAAGGTTAAGTAATGCATAGACAAGCCTGTTTTCTTTTGTGGTTCTGCTCACAGTGAAAGAAAATAATGAACAAATAGTTTTTGTATCTTCAGGCTTCAGAGGAACTGTGTCAGGACTTTTGCATTTGCACTTTCATTTTAGGTTGTGATGCAGAAAATCATGGCAAAACTTTTATATGAGAGTTAGGGCCATTTTGCTAGCTACCTAGAGAGCATCTGGGAAAAATACCTTCCAAAGAACATAACCTTTTGCATGTGCAGAGATTCATTATACTTGTTATACTTGTTATTCATTATATTTTGTTAAGATCATAATTTACATTGTAAATGCCAAGAGAGGTAGAGGCAGAAGGAAGAAAATGGTGGGATTTGATGCCTCTTCCCCAAACCACAGAACTATCTTAAAACTCCCCTATTCATAAATGAGACTTATCACTTGAAAAATCTCAATTTGCACAGAGAAGATTATGCTGTCACTGGCCAACCTATTTTATTTTTTAATAACTTCCCATATTGTGTGGTTCTAGACTACACATCACATGGCACACATTGCAAATGAGATAGATACTAGATATCTTTCTCAAAGATCATGCACCCTGGGCTGAATTTTTTGTTCTTCTTCCCTACAGGGAAACATTTTATTCTCTTTTAGCATTTTGAGCATTCACGTATCTAGCACATGACATACTGTTGCAGTCACATGGCTGCATGAACACACGTGGTTCAACTAGAACTCCACTTCACACAGTGAAAAAGAGAAACAGGAGACATAGGATAAACTCCGATGACTGAAATTGAACAATTCTTTACTCTGTCAAAATTTGCACCATCCTTGGAGAGGGGTCATCTTAAAGGCTTTCCATTAGTGCTGTGAACATGTAAATTACTTTTTAGTTCTTCCTTCCTTTTTGATTCCAGGAGGATTTTTTTTTTTTAGTAAGAATATAAGAAGTTCCAGTGTCATTGACATTTATAGAGTACTGTAGTTTCAGAGTGCTTTAATAAACCCTCTTAAGGGCCCAATGCTGTGTTTTCATATTGTACAAGCTGCTGCTGATCTTGTTCATTGCCAGGTGTGGTCCTGCATCACAAGTGTGCTGGCCCACAACCTACTTGTGGAGAGGAAAAACCCAAAAGAGATTTGTCAGAACATCACCTTGGTGCTGCTAGTTGCATGCACAAGGGTGAGTGAATGAGTTTTATACTAGAATAGCAGCAATCCCGTCAGAGAGGCTAAGTCTTGAAGTGTTTTGCCTGGGGCCACCCAGAAACCTGTAGAAGAGATAGGAACTGGAAACAGAAGAAGAGCTGAATCCTGAAGCAGCCCTCTTGGTCCTTAGCCGAAGAACAGCCACCTTGGCTCCAAGCAGGGCCAGAAATCCCAGGCTAATGAGCAAACAGTGAAACCTCCAGGCTTGCAGATGATACTAAGTAGTTTGAGTAGTCAAATGCCACTGTGCTGTCAAGGAAGTCCAGGAGGACCTCACAACACAACATGAGTTGACAAAAAGGTGGCAGGTGAGCATCAATATAGGTTAATTTAAAAAGTAGTACACCCAAGGAAAACCAACCCAAACAGGGTGTATGTGATGCTAAGCTCAGAAATGGTAGTTACCAAGAAATGGATCTCAGTTGTCACTGATAGCTCTCTGGAATCAACAGCTCGATGTGCAGTGACTGCTAAAAAGCCAAGAAAGTGTAAGTTACCATGATGAAGGGTACTGAGAAGAGAACTTTGTTTTTGCTGCTGAGTAAAAACCTTGGTGTACCTCACTTCAGACCCTGGGTGAGGTGCTGGTCTCCAATGCTTGAGGACAAATCAACAGAGAGTAGCCAAAGGGCCTCCTTCTAAGTTGGACAAGGCAAGAAATCCTTAAGTCAGTAGTAAAAGAAATGGGCAGGGTGCACTCTCCAACAGGCCAAACACCATGGGGGGTGCTGGGGGACCACATGCAGAGAGTGGACAGGTTTACTCAATCCTCCTCTCACTAGTGGAGATACAGTACTTGGATAAGTGATCCATCATCTGCCCCATTCCTCTTCCTCTTAACCTGTACCGGACAGTGGCTGACAGCCAAGACCTAAAGCGAGTATAAGAATAGGGTGCAGTAGACAGATGTTTCCCAAAATAGCCTCCTGGAGATTGAGAGTTTGTGGCTCACAGAATTCCCAACACGGAGGTGGTGTTTTACTTAGGATGGGATTCTAACTTTTTTTTAAAAAAATTTAAAAAAAAAGTAAAGTGAAGGTTTTGAAGTCAAACTTTGTTGTTAGAGGTGACATGCCAACCATGGGTAGGTGCCAACTGCAAGACTTTGACTGCTGTCTCATGAGCAAAGCTGGCAGCTGGAAGGGCAGGGAGGCATGTCCTGAAGAAGGTGAAGAATTTAGCCAGACTACTTTCAACAGCTTCTTTGACGCTGGGTGGCTGAGAAAATGGAGTGGTGTTTTCTGTGTGCTCTGTGACAAAATATCCTTTAATAACTGTCTCTGGGTCACACTGGGTTAACATGTTTGAACCACTGCATTGACCCAACCCAGTGCAGAAAACCAGGTTTTGCTTCTGGAAGACACACTGCCATAAATTGCATGACGTCGGAATACTTCATTGCTTCTGCTACCATGAAATTTCCTTTTCTGCTGAGAGAAGAAAATAAACAACTTCCCTTTAGTCTCCAGGTTGAAACTAACACTGGTCACACACACTAGAGGCAACTAAGCTTTCAGTCGAGATGAAGAAACAGTCCTGTGTTCAGGGAAAACAGACTGAAAATGGAACTTGTACAAATTGAGAGGGCAGTCAGGGCTCTGCAGCCATGACGTGAGAAAGACACCCAGGGGAAAAAAAACCACATTCATTGTGACAGACCGTACGTTACTTCCTGTAAAATAAGGTGTATCTCCCCTCGTTAGAATCACAGCTCACAGGCAGGTAATACATAGCAGTACCTTTTTAAGGGTGTTACCCAAAGCCCAGGAAATCTTGTTGGTTTGAGGGTTTCTTTCCTACTTTTGCCAAACTCTGGGTCAGCTCGAGGGATTGCAGCTCTCTACACACTTACATCCTCTCCATCATTAGTGCGGGAGCAGTCTGTGGGCCAGCACCCACTGAGATGCATCTAGGCCTGCAGCAGTGGCTCACATGAAGGGAGGAAGGATATGGAAGGCTTCTATTCCTTCACAGTGATGATGAAAAGTAAGGCTGAAGAACAGTGCTTGCATCTGTTCAGAGAAGACCCCAGCCATGCTGCAAGACACACACCTACCATTTCAGCTCCATCCATTTAGAAAGGCACATTCTCAAAAAAACCTCATCCTTTTTCCTCTAAATTTTTAACATGCTGCCAAACCAGGGTGACTACAACGAAAGCAACATCAAGATATGACTGCAGCTTGGTAGGAAGATCAAGAAGCCTAGAGGAAGCACCATATAGATATATTTTTTTAATAACTACATTTTCTACTTTTTAAATATGTGCTTAACATCAAATTTTCCCATATTTCCTGCTTTTCTGTAAGGTGGATCAAGGGAGAACTGTATGAGCTAGACAGGACAGTAGGCTTCCATTGTACAGGATAGGATCAGGAACAGTTTAAGCGTAAGTGGTCTTAACATGCCTCCGTTCTTCCATACGTTTACCCACCAGTTTACACAATGATTCACTACACAATGCAGAACTGCTAGGTTTCTCTCAGAGGCACAGCACAAAGATATTACCTTGAATTTGTATCACAGAGTGCTTGCATATGTTTAGCTTGGTTTGAGACCATCAGCTGCTACCCTCTTGCAGAATTCTCTCCAAGCTTCCCACCCCCTAAGTCTGGCTGGGTTTGTTTTGGTTTTTTAATCCTGTAGAGGTTTAGGGGATGGTGGTGGGATGGACAAGCATTAAACCAACACAAACAAAAAAGGAACTCCTCTGAAACTTTTCAAATTAAAAAGCACATCCACTATTTTCTTGTTCAAGAGGTTTTAATGAAGACTCATATTTTTTAAACCTCTCACACTGTACAACACATTTAAATGTACATCAAGCTCAGATAAAAAATAAAGCTTTCTTACAAAGTACATTTTTCCAGTGAATTTTTTTCTTTTTTTTTTTTGCAGTAAAAATAGCTGCTACATAAATCCCTCCTGATCTTTGAAAAGGAGTCACAGTATTTCCAAAAATAGAATTCATATTTTAATCATACAGGATAAACTGCAGGAAGAAGAGACAAGTCAACTGAAAAAATAAGGCTTGTATATAAATTTTTTTAAAAGGACATGCATAGAAGTTGAAAAACATATGCCATTTATAAAGGAAAAAATGTAATTTTGTCCATATTAGTATTTTCATTTTCAGTTACAGAAGAAACCACAAACAGGCCCTTTATGTCCCAGAATGTAACATTAATTCCTTGTAAAAATGCCAAAACGCACAAAGAAGTGCCAGCTTCAGTCTTGGCAAAATACTGAGCCAGCCTTCCCTCCCTGCTCCCCCATTTCATATCATAGGCATACCATATGCATGCATACTGAGCACTTATGTTGTCTCTCAGGCCAATTAAATATTTGCAGAAGGTTGTATATCATAGACAAACATGGAAAAAAACCCCACATTTGATAGCTTTACATTCATCCTATTTCAAAACACACATACAATTAGTTTAATTTACACTATACAGTATCTGTTAAATAGGAACATTACAGAGTTTCAAAAAGAATCACAGAATATATACAAACTGAATATTGAAATGGTACGATTTTCCTTCCCTTCTTTAAAGGGTCTTTTTTTGTTAACAGTTGCTACATCTGGTTTTGGACACAGAGTGTTTATGTACCTATGCAGCACATGTCTGGAGTAGTAATAATAATAAAACGTGCTTTAGAACAAAACTAATTCTCCTTACTGCTTATTTAAAATAAATTAGTTTTTTTTTTAAATAAATTGTATCACATAAGATGTAAGCAAGGACAACAGTATTTTAAAATATCTGCGCGATAGTTCCGCTGCATCACTGGTTTCTCATCCAACCTTTGGTTTTAAAGCCAACCCATTATTATATGGCAGTGTTAAGTAGCCAAAACGCTTTATACGGCAGTACAGGCAGTAGAAATGCTTAACCCGAGAGCATTTCCATGTCTTCATGACAGAGCTAGGGTCTGTGCTGACTTCCATGCTGCTCAAGTGCCTGACACAGCAACACCCGAAGCCACTGATGAAATAAGGCCACTTCCTTCCAGTTCTCCCTGGTTACAAAATAGGTTAAGGTCCTTATTTCCCAACAGTTGCACCCATCTGAACAGCCAGAAGAACTGACCACAGACAGTTCCCAGACACAGTTCCAACACGTGATTTTGCCCCTGCAGCATCACGTCGTCAGGCTCAGTCCTCTGTGTCGGGCTGCACCCCCAGCATTGCGTGCAGCTCCTCCGCTGTGTACCCCAGCAGGTTCTGCAGGTCGCACACAAAGCGATACACGTAGCGTTTCCCTGAAGTCTTGTGGATGATGTTCTTGTCGTAATAGTAGCGTAGGCCTCGGCTGAGTTTCTCATAGTTCATTTTTGGCTTGTTTTTCCTCCTTCCCCACCTCCGTGCCACCTGTCAGTCCAAAAAGAAAGCAAAATGCAAAGGTATTTATTCAAGTCATGTTCTTCTAGTCTGTGGCTGATAAACACAGTTATTAAAATCCTTTCTCAGTCAGAGCATTTTATTTGTTTTGAATGTCCTGAACTCAGATAAGAGAAGAGTTGGTGACTGACCCCACAACTGAACAGGCTCCAACACAATTGTCAGCAGCAGCTTCAGGAGAAAGTGGCTGATAGCAAATAACAATGAAAAAGATGCCTATTTGTAGCACACGGGCCAAAATGTGTTTAAAGGAGATCAAGTTAAGGGGAAATATAGTCTTCTCTCTCACAAAGACACCATTTAACTGTTAACTTGTTATTGAGAAGCATGGGACAGCTCTTTCACTGGAAGTCGAATAACAGGACATTCCTTGGAGTTAACAATTTCCCCCCCACCTTTTTTTTTTTATAAAGGCTCCAGTGAACTTTATATCACATCTCTTAATACAATAACTTTCCCACTGATAACAGCATCAGAAAATGAAAATGCATTGTATTTAGTTTTTAATGACCAAAGCTATAAGCTCCCAAAATATTTCAAAAGCAGCACTACCATATTTGCAGTGTATCTAAAAGGGCAATATGCAGGGTGCATTTTCCCCATGCCTTCAAGCAATCCCAGGCATTGTTAATTCAACTGCCTCTAGTAAACTAATCTACAGTATGACACGGTCAAACTACAACTTGGTATACTACCTTTAAGTTTCAAGCTATACAATGTGTTCTCCTAACTACAAGCAAATGCCAATATTCCTGGGTGGGAGGAGAAGGGGGAACATCCCACAGCAATCCTGACTGTACAATAAAGCATTTGTAGATTAAGATATTTCAGCAAGGGTCTGATCATGTAAATGCTTTACACTCAAGACTAGGTCCACAGATGATGGATCAGACCCTAAATCTTTCTGTTCATCACAATTAGCCACACACCTCATCAGGGTCAGCAAGTTTAAATTCCCATCCATCTCCAGTCCAGCTAATGAATGACTGACAGGACTTGTCAGTCAGTAACTCCAGAAGGAATTGCCATAGCTGTATAGGTCCACTGCCTGTTTAGAGAGAGGAGGAGAGGAGAATTAATACTTCTGCAAGCTCTTACCAGAACTAATGTATGTGACCATACTCATATCACAGGATAGATCTTGTAATTAATCTGTTTCACCTTTTTTTTTTCCCTTAAGATCAGAAAGAAACCTAAGGTTTTTCTCTATAACACAAATCTGTTCCTAAACATGTTAAAATTAAAACAAGTCAGCTTTTCCAAGGAAACACAGGATTTGACACAAGCCATGTCTTTCCCTTTCATATAGATTCCTTAGCCCTCACTCCCACCTCCTATCAGCTGCATTTCAAGCTCCAGGGCTTGTCCTGCAGTCCTTGGCTTGGCATATGTTCCAGAGGAAAAACTGATTTCAGCAAGGAATATAGGATCATCTTAACAGGTAAGCCAACACCTGTGGAAACTCTCAAGTGTGGGAGATACTGTCCAAGTTTCCCTCTTTTCCAAACAGATCAAAAAGTGCATTTGATTTTTATGCGTTGATATTCCTGCCTGTTCTTGGTTTAGATGGATAGGCCTATGAGACTTTCTTTAGTAGTATTTAAAATTGAAATTCTTCCTGAGTAGTGGTTTCTGACTAAGTTGTAAGGCATATCTTACAACTATACAACTTTATCACCATGGTACACATTTATAGAGAACATTGATGTTACATAAGAAGAGGAGTGACCATTTTGCTTCACTACTTACCAGTAAAGCCAGCTAGACTTGCTGCTGGTATAACTGGTTTCCCTTGCTCTACAGGATCACTTCGTTCTTGAATATAGTCTTTGAAAGACATTGTAGGTTTGCTCAGACACAAGGACTGGCTACAGTCATCTTCAAAACTCTCATAGGATGGCACACGCTGTAAATCCACTAATGACGACTGGCTGTTCCAGGACTGTAGCATCGAATCTGAGCTTTCATAACTTTCTGCACCACTGTCGCTAGATTCATGTTCTCTAAGCTTGCCTTTATAAAACAAACAAACAAAAGAATTAAAAAAAGAGAAAAAGGGTTGGTTGGTTTTTTTTCCTCCCCCTCAATCTAGCTTGTATATATAAATTATGCAAAGGAGGAAAAGACATACAGACTATGGCCTTGGACCCATGTTCATCACGCAGATAATGACTCACCAGAATTATCTATCAGCAAGTTCAGATTGCTCCTTGGGAAATCTTGATTTACTGCACAATAGTTCACACCAACAGCATCTGCTTGGGTTTTAGGGAACAATGAAAACTCTTGCTCTGGATTGAGGAGATTTGGTCCTGTGGAGGTCTGACAGACGTCAGTTAGGAGGCTGGGTTTGGGATAACCAAGGGCTTTAGGGTATCCAGGCATTTGTATACCATATGAATTCTGATCTACATTAACAGCTGAAGAAAGAAATAAAAAAATTAGATAATTTTCCCGGCAGAACCTTAGACTAATACACCTCCAGCACCTCACTACAGATGTGCTGTCAAGAACTAATTTTCCCATGAAAACCTAAGAGTAATAGATGACACTGACCTACTGGAATGGCAACTGAAGTTGGTGAGAAGATTCCCATCTAATGGGCTCCAAATCAGATTCTGTAAATCTCCCTCTATAACTTGCTGACTACAAATATGTCTACTGTTTGTTCTTCAAGGAAACTACAGGGCTACAGAAAAAGCTGGAGAAGCTTAAGCAGTTTTGAGTAAGGCCCTCATCATTGATCACTGTAATAAGGTTGAGCTGGAGACTGACTGTGGTAGAATAAAATACAACACCAATCTCACAATCTGAGGGAGCTAGCACCGCTAGCTTTCAAAAGCTCTATTATGCTTCCACAGTCTTCAAAAACACCTAAACATAATTCTTACTGCTCGCCAGTGATGCTAGTTCTCGACTGTTAGCTAGAGGTGGGAGTGGTCATTCTGCTCCACAGATGTAGGCTTTGGCATACAAAGAGGAAATTAGATTTTCTCAAAGCCTTTGCTCTTCAAAAGATTTCTGATGTGAATTAGATGACAAACAATACTAGGAAAGAAGGCTGTAGCAATTGAAGTCAAGTGTTCTCCTCAAGCACAGTAACTATTCTAGTGCTTTTTTGTTTGTTTTTAAACCAGGATCTGTGACATGCTTAGAATAAACCAAGAGATGTAAAATGTCAAATTTCTTAAAATACTTACTTAAAGAATTATTATTGACCCAGTGAGGAACTGAGGTGAGATGAGAGTTCTCCACATATTGATCCTGTGTTTTCTCTTGGCTGTCTGGGGAGACAAGGGGGGGAAAAAAAGAAAAGAAAATAAAATTTTGTTTTATAGTTTTAAAGATCCGACATGTATGCCACGAAAAGCTTCTGACTCTCTTGAGTATTTTGGCATCATCATTCACACAAATTTTACTAACACACTGCATTACATTCTCTCTCTTGAGAAAAACCACGCCAAAAAACCTAACCAATTTCCAAGAGGCTTGAAAAGCGTTGTACCAATTGAATTTTAACATTAAACTTAGAAACAACAATAACTGCAGTGTGCTTTAAGGTCCAAGTCCTTAATGTAAGCAACTACTGAATGTTACACTCCAGACCCAATGGAACTCACAGGGCACTGCATGTAGGGTTTTACATGTCTTTGACTTCTTTACATCCATTCACTGAATTACCTCAAAACACTACATTAAAGGAACAAAATCAAAAACTAGTAATAAGAAGTGAACAAATTTCTCCAACTCCTGGTAAAAATTCTGTAATAAAATTTTTGTATTTGTAATCTCCTTTATTTCATTGATTATTCCAAATAAAACCTGACTGCGATAGGTACTCTGCCTGAACACAGAATGATTTCTGCAGATACCTGCATCTGTGCTTTGCATACCAAGGATGTATTAAAAGTTCTGATAATGCTTTTATTAACCAAGTTTTAAAGATAATTTTGAGTTTTCATATGTAATAAAAGCCCTTCATAGTGAAACAAGTGTTGAAAGAGTCACACTTCTGTTTGTTATAAGAGCCTTAAAACAAAAGCTGTTTCTGGCTTTGTAACTACCTTTTATCATCTGTTCCAGGTGTTCCCACAGAATATCACCCACATAGTCAGGTGCCAGTTCCAGAAAACGCTCCTTGCCCAGATTGCACAAGTCTTGGCCACTCATAAGAAATTGATGGAAGTTCACATTTGCCAAGCTAAACTCATTGGTAGCCCATGAAAGCCACTGACAAACTTGCTGTTCAGTCCACAACCACGGATCTGCAAGACAAAGTATCCAGCATTTAAAGATGACTCCTGACCTTTGTCAAATAGCCTTCATTAGAAGGCAGTGAATGAAAAAAATTGTTTACCCAAGTTATTTAGTTGTGAATGAATTCAGAATGAAAGTATTCTTGAATTTAAAAAAAAACCCAAACCAACAACCAAAACGCCACCAAATCCAAAAATACAGTCCTCTCTTTTCCTTCTGCATACACTTGTGATCAGAGATATCCTCAGCTTACTTGATTCTCTCTTATGCTGCCAAAGCATGAGCTCTCCATGCACCCATTTTTAATACCAGCAAGTCTGGTCTTTCCAAGTCAAGCTGTGCCAGATTCACATAGGATCCATTCTTGTATTTCCTACTGACATCATTCTTTCTCTTTTGAAAGAGCCGCTATTCAGCCTCCTCCTTAGCATTAAAAAAAAGAGCTTATAAATAGAAAACACTTACTATTTGGGATACCCAGCCGACACTGTTCCTTTGTGAAACCACTGAAAGTATCTTTCAAGGCCTGACTCATCACAGCCTTACTGCACGGGGTTAACAGAGGCAATTCACAGTTGTTCGACTCTACAAGAAAGAAAAGAAGTGGAGGGAAAAAAGAAAATAATGTTAACTTTTAGGCCAGAGAAAGGAGTGACAGGTTTTTCCTGTGCTTATTTGAAGAATAAGAAAAGGACGTTAGAAACTAGGTATTTTAAAAACAGAAACAAGCAGCATGGATCCATTTTCTGATATATCAAGTCAATCTTGAGTCAATCTTTTCCGATATATTAAGTCAAAGACTTAATATATCAACACTAAAATCTCTGTGCTACTGGTTTAATAAAATTGCATCATGCTAAATTAAAGCTCTGCAGCTTTCTATGACGTAGATCCTCATTTACTCTTAGTGGTAACACAAAGTGCCTTTGTTGCAGGGAAACTTCACTATTACTTTTTTTTTTTTAAGGAAATATGAGACTGCTTATTCCTATTTTGTCACCTACAGTTTGACCTCAGATTTCCTTGTACTCCAGAAGTTTTCCATTAGTTTGAGAGCTAAGTAACTGTTAGCAGGGTTATGAAGAATCAGCTCACACTATTTAACACTGCTTTCCAGTGGACTGCATTTCAGACCTCCCCATGCATCTCTCAGTCACCCAAGTACATGGTGTGACAGATTATTCTATTGTCTGAACCAAATAAGTGTGACTGGTAACAAGCTGGAACCCATTGTCTAAATAATGCAACAAAATCTAAAGTCAGCACCATTCTATGCCAGTATAAATTAATAATCTGCTTAACTGATTTTTAAAGTTTCAAATTTGTCCATTTTAAGGACAAATTTGGCTTCTGCTCAGCCTTTCTTACTGGGCAATTTTCATCAGAAAATGCCTCATTTTACCCTGAAAGAAGGACTTCTAAGTTGAGCAAAGCCAACCACACTGCCTAGGTGTTCAGATTAGGAAACCTTTTACTGATATTTTGTTTGCAATTGGTGTCATTAAGCTAGGGGTAATTTGAAGACAACTTGACCAACTCGCTATTGCATCCCTGAACATTTGAGAACCTCTGAGAACTCACACACAGGTTGCAATTGAAGGAGCTCCGCTGTGTTAGAGACATTAAACAGTGGCAGAGTATATAAAGGTGATGAACTTGGCAGACTCCAAGTCAGTTCATGGAGCTGTGCAGCTCTTATTCTCCTAGGCTATGTACAGGCTCCACTTGACCCAGCAAGTCAAGTGCTTAACTTCTGTTTTTACCACACCCATCCTCAATATCTGCTAGGACTTGCTTTGTTGACCAGAGTGGGTGACTGATTAGAATCACATTAGAACAAAGGACTGGTGGTTTTCAGAGGTTTGAGGAGGCTTAGTTTTTTCCCTTCCCTAAGGGGAGATAAAGGCAGCACTAGGAAAAATATCTACATTTTGGACAAAACTCCGTGTTTTGCCAGGGATTTTATGCAAGGGTTTGCAGAGAACTCTTGGTAAGTACTGTCCTACACACAGAAAAAAACCCACAAACAAACCACCAAAACAACAAAACCCCCCACCTCCAAACAACAACAAAACGCACACCAAAACAAATCAAAAACACAAAACCCCAAAAAAGTTCTGTAAACTTCCCCACCCCTGTTTTTAAGGTATGGAGTGAAACAGACTGGGATTTAACACCAGAGGGTCAAGAAAGGACCTTGCAGAATACTTCCATTTTAATTATGATTGAGACGTTGCAAGTTTAAATACACATAAAGCTTTTTTTTAAAAAAAAATTTAAACTCTCTTAGCTCTGCTTTAATACCTACTAAGGCTTCTTCCATGGACAGTCAGTCTATTAGGCTGCTGAATCCCAGATCCCATTCCTTTTCAGTACAGGGAACAGCAACTCACACAGATAAAATCAAGAACATACACAGAAGTCTGTGTACTAAACCACTTTTTTAGGGAAACCCATGTTGCACTTGTAGGAGTATAGCCATGAAATATTAGACCCCACGAATTTCTTCCTGATCTGCTGACTGGACTAAGGAACAAAGTGAAGAGTTACCATAAGAAGTAGAATCAAATCCTGTTGGCACTTCTTGAAGTGTTTGATCTTCATTTAGTGAGAAAAAATATCCAGCAAAGAGAGAGTTTGAGCTATCGAAGGTGTCAAATGCTGGTTGACGCTGCAAAGCAACAGAACAAATAAAAAACAACATGAGCATTTTGCTACAGCACTGTCAATTGCATTGCTAGGAAGTGGCTGGGTTAGTTTTCCCAGATTTGGAGATCATGCACAACCACTATCTTGAATCAGCTAACTTGTGCCTTTGAAATATAAACACTACAATAGCATAGCCTCTTGTACATGAATACAAAACAACTAACATTCAGACCACAGTGTTAGGTGGGTGGCATGTTCCGCAGGTTACAGTAAAGCCAAGGATATTCTTAGTTTTCCTGTAATTGAGGCTTTTAACAATAGAGAACACATGTGTGTGTGTGTATAGATGTATAGATAGATATTTATTTCCAGGTACATTTAAAATAAACTCTTAATTCCTTAACCTTTTAAATTGATTAGCCACTTGATGATTACTTGATGGCAGAGGCAGGATCAGTAAATTGTGGAAAAACAACTGTCAATGCAAGACCTACAGTAAATCTATGCAGGTTTTGGGTGGGGTTTTTTTTTGTTTGTTTGGGGTTTTTTTGTGGGGTTTTTTGTTTTTCTTTAAAGGAAAAATTTAACCTGAACCACGTCACTTGAAGCTATACAGCCAGCTTTACAGGACTTGAGGTAAGATGTTACTATTTTGCTGTGACTTTTGTACTTTTGAGTTACTGGATTTGCCAGCTACCACATTGTGCAGTCTTTCAAGTGCTCAGATGCTCAGTGAAACACTGCTAGTTTCATTATACAGAAAGGGATCAACAAGACCAATAAAAGCGTTCCAGATAAAAGTTGATTCTACTGATATATTGGCAACATTCAATAAATGTTCTTATATTTTGAAAACATAACTTCTTTCCAACTTGACTTGTGTCAATTATGTATGCTAGAAACACTCCAACTTTCACTAGTTCCCCCAGCCCCAGTAGTGTTTGGGGGGGCAGAGGGAATGTTAACAAAGGAGGAAACAACTTTAAAAACAACTTATGCAACTTGCCTGTTAGTCACAAGGAAACCATATCTCTAGTATCTAGAGGCACAGATGAATAAAAGTTGCCACTGAGATTTTTTTAAAAGCACCTGAGGATAGAATACTGTTTTGGAAAGCTACCGCTTGCTCACAGCAGCTACTACAGTTCAGGGAGCTGGAGACAGAGGCAACTTGCAAATGCTTTTTGTTTTAGGCATCCACTGGTCTGCCAGCTTCTGCCAAGGTAGAGGATTCAGTTGAGGACAAGGCAAAGATTTTTCAGGGTAGTATTCATGTGCAATGCAAAAAGCAACCTGAACTATGTTTCCAGATAGCAAACAAGTATTAGTATTTCCTTAAATTCCCTAACTTTCCTTTTTATGTCACCACAAAGTTTCAAGTGGCTTTGAGTCTTTTTACACCAGGTGCCTTATGTGTCGTGTGTCATCCTCCTCCTCAAATTACATTAACCCTAGTAAGAAATAAGGAACTATAATTTTTTAGTTGTATTTTATAACAAGCTGCAATGCATCCTAGTACATACATGAAAGCATAGACTCCACAGAACAAAAAGCTGGTTAAGCAAACAATATCATGCCTCAGTTAACTGGGTTCAGAAGTCTCCACTGAGCACGGTCCAGCAGAGAAACTGTGTACAGTTGGTTCAGGTAGCCCTCCCAGCTAGAGTCAAAGCCAACCAGTGAAAAGGCTTACATCCAAATGAAACCAGTTAATAACACTTTCCAAATCTCCTGGTAAAAGATTCTTTATACATAACTAGATAAAAGCACTGACTCATCACTAGTGCCTAAAAGAAAGGGCAAGTTCTTTCAACACAATCTGGAAACTCCTGCGTTTTGTGACCCTTATCCTGAGTCACTGGAAAAAATGCTGTGGCATGTGAATGAGTAAAATCCATACTGTGCTAGCTTCGTATTTCAAACAGGAGAAAAACTAATGTTTAAGCAGGTTCTTGATTTAATAGTAGTAAAAGGGGAAAAACCCACTGTAGAATTTATTCTGCTTGCCCTATCAGTTACGCAACCATTTTATTTGGCTTTTCAACATATATATGTAAGAGTAATTAGTACAGAACGAAATAAAAAGAAATATGAAAAGCTACAAAATAGTAGAATACAGGTCTCTATTTTGACTTAATTGTATGGCAACTGAATACTGAATAACTGCTTAGAACAACCACTGTGTTACAGAGCACACAGCTGTTAAGTTGGGGGATCTCTTGTGGATTTTGTTGTTGTGGGCAAGAGGAAAAGCTAAGAAGGGACATAAAAATATCAGAGCAGTTAGCATACCAGAGTCTCACTAACTGATTCTTCAAAACATGAACGTTCCTCAAAGTTAATGAGAGCAGAAAGTGTCTACCTAGCCTTTATTTGGTTTACATTAATCAATGCTGTGTAAAAAAAAAGATACTGGGATTAAAAAGCAACTTGCATGAATGGGGAGGAGGGAAGCCCTTAAAGACTGAGTCTTCATAGTCTGCTTCTCATTTGCCCTCGGTTTTTAAGTTCCTTTCAAAACAAGGTAACAGATGCAGTCTATCTAAAGACAAAATGTATTTAATAACTATCTTTGGTTTCTTACAATGTGTTGAACTTCCATTTCACATAACTGCATGGAGTAAGTGAATAACCTACTTTTTTTTCATACAATGCTCTTGAATGAATCAGATTAACCAATCACATCAGAACAGCTCTCTGCCAGTCTCATTGAGTTAAAGATATAAAGACCATCCCTACTGCCAATCCTGTATCGCTGATTGAGGCAAAAGTTCCACCAACTCCAATGAATCTGAGCTCAGTTCTTGTCTACCTCTTATTTTCAAATTCTTAGGATTTGGGGAATGGAAGGAAGGAGGGTCCCTGGGGGAGAGGGTTTGGGGTGCAAGATTTACACCTTCCTATTTCAGATCTGCTTTTCACATCTCTACTGAACTCAGTGGGAGCAGTCTAGAAAGATTAGAGGTTACAAACAAACAATTAAAACCTGAGTATCTGTGTTCACCTTGGCATGGTTATACCATTCCTGTGCTAGCATTAATAAGAACACAATAAATGCATTAGGTGGGATATGCCCAGTTGGGTTTAGAAGATGACAGCTCAAGAGTACTCACCTTGAGCATTCCTCTGTACATGTTAGACACAGGAGCTACTTGATCCATGTTTCTGATCCCAAAATCACTCATCTGAAAAATGAGAGGTGTCACATGAAAAAAGTTACTACAGAGCATGTTAACAGATGCATCTCACTGCTCCAGTACAGACTACAGAACAGCTCTCGGAATGAGGTGCAGGGAAAGCTTTCTATATCACTGCTGACATCCTGACCACACAGGGCACAACTCCTGTCTTGCTTCAGCAGCTTTTTAACTGGAAGACCATTCACAGGCATCACTGATGTTAAAGTGCTATGAAATGAGCAAACTGGAGGATGGTTTGTTTCGGATACCCAACGTGAGGGTTTTTAGTACCTTATCTTGTTAGTCTGAAAAGCTTACAGAAGTCCTTTGTCCATTGAGTATCTATCACTGAGATATCTTCTAACTTTCACCCATTATCTTAAACATTCAGGTTTGTGTTACTTTTGCTTACTATATACCTGCTCACACACCATGATTCACTTTGGACTTTGGCTTTCAAAGGAAGGAAGAGAAGTGAGAGAGCCCTCACCAAGATACACATTCAAGTATTAACACTCACCCCTTTCCCCTTTTTATGAATAATCATTGAAGCCAATAGCCAGTATTAGCAACCTGCTTCCTTTACTAGGCAAAGCACCTCCAAACCATGTTAACTTGCACATTTCATAAACACAGGGTTAGCCTATTTAGAAAGCTTTAGAGGGCCTAAGTTTTAATTGAAAAGGGTTTAGGCAATAAAAAACCCTTTTTAAAGAGTCGATAATGGGACCACCATCTATATGTTCATGCTGCCAAAGTCAAAACTGTATCATATTGCCTTTACTACCAGAATAGGGTTGTGTGAGGCCTGTGTAACTTGTTCTCCTATGTATCACTTAAGTAAAACAACTGATAAGATTCACAACCTTTTACTGACCTATAGGAGAGATCAAACATAAGGAATAAAGCCAGTTTTATGGCCATTTTTCAGGTTTATTATGATGCTGTAATTCAGGTGTTGGTGAACAATAACTTATCACACTACACTGCAGATAGTTGTCTCTTAACAATTTTCCTCCTCCTTTTTCACAGCATTGGGCTAAACTCTCTTGCTCCGCAAAAACTGTCTGAAAACGTGCATTTGTATTTAAATGATCACATAGGACACTATTAATATTTCCACAAAACTATGATCTCTTACTGCAAGCAAGTTCTCTTGTTAGCCACGTTAACACAAGGCAAAACCCAAAATACAATCTTAAACTCAGGAAAAGATGGCAAATTAGGAACTCGACAAAATAAGCCCAGGCTGTTAAAATGACAACATATTCAAAAGCTGTCCATATAAGCGAAGAGGAAAATAAAAACATCCAACAGCCAAAGACAAGGAACCCTTTCATCCTCTTATGTAGTCGATCACTTAGGATTCAAGAGTCCTTAACCTGAAAGGCCCATTTCAACTTCACTGTTATCAGAGGTATGGGGCTTATCATTGAAATAAAATAAATCAACTGGCTACGAAAGGAATATTCGACTTACATTTCATTTATGTTACCCAAAAGTGCAATCTACTGAATGATGTTTTTTACCTCAAATAGCATGTACAAATATTTGAACTAAATTACGCATCTCACTGAGCAGCAAAGAATTCTACACAGCATGTCTCACTCAGCAAGCATCCTAATCTTTTCATTAAATTTGCCACAGTTTAAACAACTGTTTATCCTTGCATTCTGCTGGGCTTTAAAAAAAAGTATATGGCAATTTCTAACACCCTTTGTTTTGCCTTTGAAAACTGTTTTGGTATCTATGGATAACTAGCTATAAGCCCTACCAATCGGAAAATATTTGTGAAAACATACATACTTTCAGTAAGTTTTGGATCCCCAGTTAGGACTACAAATAAGATTTTGACACTTTCAGGTGCAATCCTGGCCTCTCCACGAATCCTGTCAGGAACTTCACCATTGAGTAAAAGGACTGGGATTCTCTCCTTCCTGCGTTTTTTTTGTTTCTTTAGAAAATGTTTAGAGTCCTAAGACAAAAGGTTTACGTGAAGTCTTCATTACATGGCATTGCTCATTAACCCAAGTCACTCTATGCTAGGCTGCTCGTTTGTTTGGTGGCCTTGCCTGTGCGCTACACAGCTTATGAAAAATTAGACACCCAGCTCTGGTCTAATAACATCTTAAGACCTTTAGCACGTTTTCTAATACTCCGGTTTTCTTCCTCTAACTGAATCTCTCACGTTATGATTTTCTATAGCCTTTGCTCATCGTACATTGGCTTTCTCCCCACCTACAGTACAAGTTTCCAGCCCTGAGATCCGAAACCCTTATAGAGGTACCGCAAGACAAGAGGAGCTGAAAAGGCAATATGGCTTTTCATGACACAAAGGGTTAAAGCTGGCTTTCTGCTGGACTTAGAAAGCTGCTATTTAAGTTCAGAAAAGACACTAGGGCAGGGCATGGTGTGACTGGGCCCCACTTCCAACTCCCCCACTAATGCTGATGAGTGCTACTTGCCAGCTATAATTGGTTTAACTGGCAGGACACCTTCTTCAACACCCCCGCATAGCTGAGTGGGTGAACCAGAACAGGGTCAACAGGATCAGGCACTTATTAACTAATACTCCTGAATTCTGATCAACTTCTTTTCAGCAATAGCCAGGTACTTGCCCACAGCTGGATTCAGCCAGGAATCACCCATATGGACAACTAAACCATGCTAGTGTCCGCAACATATCTCCACCGCTATTTTTATTATTATGTTGCTTTTAAATGGCAAATTAAGGCTCCTGATCAAAAAAAAAAAACCAAAACCCAACCACTCATAGCAATAGGTGAGGAGACAACCGCCTGCCTCAGGGGCGCCGGTCCCCCGTGCAGCTATTGGGGACCCCGAGCACCGACCAGAGAGATGCCGAGAGCGGGTATGACTTGCCACACACGACACGCTCGCCCACATAAAAGTTCGATGGGAAGATCATACAGCCCAACATTTTTTAAGTCCCTTTAAAGTCCTAACCAAACCCGGAGAGCCCGCTGCCCATTAACCCTT